AAAGAGACAAATGCAGTCATGATATTAGAATTGATCCTGGGGTCTGGCCACAACCGTAGGGACCTAGTTTCTGCGTCACAGCTTGGAAACAGTTGAGATCCCCACCCCATAACCATACATAAAATTGCTGGGCATGAAAAATTGAATACAGATATATATGCTACAAGGATTGGCCTTGGGGTCTGGCATATTCCCTTGGATCTCATTTGGAGAATATTCTGCCATGATTGCTTAGATATCAAGGTGAGCGATACAGGCCCTATGGGCCTCTTGTTACTGTTCGTCTTCGGAAGATGTCTCATGATTGTGTGATTTAAACACAAAGTTCTGACGTTATGAACAAGTAATCTCAATCGTTATGCTCCTTATATAAAAATGGACTGTAGTACAGTGCACTGGAAGGTGTGGTAGATTTTATCATTGGGAAAAGTCGGTCCAAGCACTAATTACTTGCCAACTACGAGTGTTAAAAATGAAGGGTAATTTAATTCATTAGAACAGATGAAAATTGTCAACCTTTTAGCTGATTTTGGCTTTTAAAAGAAAATTGATTTGACGTATTATAGTATATATTGGTGAGCGTCCATCTGTCCATACTTTTTTGATAACTTGCTTGAATATCGTTTTACTTTGATGGAACTTTGTAAGCATGTAATTAATATGTAGACTGTACAAGTTCGAAGCTCGGCAAAATCCTTTACATAATAAGTTAGTATACTTTACTGCTATCTTTATTGGTCGACGGTATCGGCACGGCAACTTAATCAACTGGAACAGGTTTGTCAATATTTACGCTTCCTCTAACGGCCATATATGCCAGTAAATAATGAATAGAACTGTCTGGTTTCAATAGTGTTTGAATGTACGAAGGGAGACAATACCTATGTTGATAAACTTTTAAAAATGATATATGAAAATATGAAAAACATAAATTCCTTCAGCTTAAGTTAGTCAAGTACAGTATGCTTTCACCACACTCCATGATAGTACAAATACTGTACCTTTGTTGTAATTCCGTGCGGTAATAATAATGATAAGTCTTTATTTAAACTTGATTACAAAGTGAGTCAAAGACTCGTCTCCCTCATGGTCAAGCATATTAAAAAATGTACATTATTTACAACATTAATATACTGAAACTAGAGTACCACACGGAGGTACATTAATATACTGAAATAAGGGTACCGCACGGAGATACATTAAATATTAATGTACCTCCGTGCGGTTCACTTGTTTCAGTGTATTAATGTATCTCCGTGCGGTACTCTTGTTTCAGTATATTAATGTACCTCCGTGCGGTTCTCTTGTTTCAGTGTATTAATGTATCTCCGTGCGGTACTCTTGTTTCAGTATATTAATGTACCTCCGTGCGGTACTGTAGTTTCAGTATATTAATGTACCTCTGTGCGGTACTCTAGTTTCAGTATATTAATGTTCCTCCGTGCGGTACTGTAGTTTCAGTATATTAATGTACCTCCGTGCGGTACTCTAGTTTCAGTATATTAATGTACCTCTGTGCGGTACTCTAGTTTCAGTATATTAATGTTCCTCTGTGCGGTATTCTTGTTTCAGTGTATTAATGTACCTCCGTGCGGTACTCTTGTTTCAGTATATTAATGTATCTCCGTGCGGTACTCTTGTTTCAGTATATTAATGTATCTCCGTGCGGTACTCTTGTTTCTGTGTATTAATGTACCCCCGTGCGGTTCTCTTGTTTCAGTATATTAATGTATCTCCGTGCGGTATTCTTGTTTCAGTATATTAATGTACCTCCGTGCGGTACTCTTGTTTCAGTATATTAATGTATCTCCGTGCGGTACTCTTGTTTCAGTATATTAATGTATCTCCGTGCGGTACTCTTGTTTCAGTGTATTAATGTACCCCCGTGCGGTTCTCTTGTTTCAGTATATTAATGTATCTCCGTGCGGTACTCTTGTTTCAGTATATTAATGTACCTCCGTGCGGTACTCTTGTTTCAGTATATTAATGTATCTCCGTGCGGTACTCTTGTTTCAGTATATTAATGTATCTCCGTGCGGTACTCTTGTTTCTGTGTATTAATGTACCCCCGTGCGGTTCTCTTGTTTCAGTATATTAATGTATCTCCGTGCGGTACTCTTGTTTCAGTATATTAATGTACCTCCGTGCGGTACTCTTGTTTCAGTATATTAATGTATCTCCGTGCGGTACTCTTGTTTCAGTATATTAATGTATCTCCGTGCGGTACTCTTGTTTCTGTGTATTAATGTACCCCCGTGCGGTTCTCTTGTTTCAGTGTATTAATGTATCTCCGTGCGGTACTCTTGTTTCAGTATATTAATGTACCTCCGTGCGGTACTCTTGTTTCAGTATATTAATGTATCTCCGTGCGGTACTCTTGTTTCAGTATATTAATGTATCTCCGTGCGGTACTCTTGTTTCTGTGTATTAATGTACCCCCGTGCGGTTCTCTTGTTTCAGTGTATTAATGTATCTCCGTGCGGTACTCTTGTTTCAGTATATTAATGTACCTCCGTGCGGTACTGTAGTTTCAGTATATTAATGTACCTCTGTGCGGTACTCTAGTTTCAGTATATTAATGTTCCTCCGTGCGGTACTGTAGTTTCAGTATATTAATGTACCTCCGTGCGGTACTCTAGTTTCAGTATATTAATGTACCTCTGTGCGGTACTCTAGTTTCAGTATATTAATGTTCCTCTGTGCGGTATTCTTGTTTCAGTGTATTAATGTACCTCCGTGCGGTACTCTTGTTTCAGTATATTAATGTATCTCCGTGCGGTACTCTTGTTTTAGTGTATTAATGTACCCCCGTGCGGTACTCTTGTTTCTGTGTATTAATGTACCCCCGTGCGGTTCTCTTGTTTCAGTGTATTAATGTACCTCCGTGCAGTACTCTTGTTTCAGTATACTAATGTACCTCCGTGAGGTACTCTTGTTTCAGTGTATTAATGTATCTCCGTGCGGTTCTCTTGTTTCAGTGTATTAATGTACCTCCGTGCAGTACTCTTGTTTCAGTATACTAATGTACCTCCGTGTGGTACTCTTGTTTCAGTATATTAATGTACCCCCGTGCGGTTCTCTTGTTTCAGTGTATTAATGTATCTCCGTGCGGTACTCTTTTTCAGTATATTGATGTAACGCAAACTGATATTTTCCCCAATGAAAAAGATAAAAAAAAATGACTTTTCAGCCTTTATTTTCATCTCTGTTAGAACGATTTAACCATTCACCCCTTACTGCTACGTTGAGCTTGTAAAAATAACCTTTTATCAATTTATTGATAGGACTACAGAGTGAAAATCGACTTATTCAGTAGACCATCTGGTTTGATTGGTAGGTAGAGAACTATAGTAAATAAATAATGATTTTCAAACAACAAAATCACCAGAGCTACAAAAAAATCTACTCCTGTAGTCAAGGTGTCAGTAGAACCAGAGATTTATTGTAAGTCCTTTGCTTTTGAATTTTATCTGGAGATGTGTGTAAATGTTTTCATACATAATCTTTGTTGTTTTGCGATAGAAAATGATTTATATGTTTCATTGATTTAACTCTGTTAACTTAAAAATAAGTTGGATAAGCATAATAACAAACCCGTCGCTAAGTCTTGCAAGGAAGCGATGTTTGGCTTTTTGGCATACTTCATCTAGATCTATGTTCATGACAGAAAGCCTTTCTATATCTATCTATCTATATGTTATACTCCACAGAGACCAAAATGGCTTTTCAGAACAAAAGATTCGCTTTACTACGGTGTTTNCCCCCCCACACACACACACACACACGTTATTGCATAACCTAATGAAACATAATAAATATATTGGGCTAGTCAATATACCGCGGAATTGCTATCCAAGCAATACCAATTTGGTGATATCGGATCATAGTATAAAAGGTTCGGCATGGATATTGTTTTATCTCTATTTAATTTGTTCTATTATTTCCCATAGCACAGTATTTTATTGTCAATCCTAAATTATTATCATTTGTATGCCTAATAGCCACGCCGGCTTTCTTCTCACCGTCAGACCGATTCGTATTGTTTCCGGAGTTTTAATAAGTCTGTTTCCAGATTAGAAATCTTTTAAAGATGGCGACCTCCATTGGATAACACGCACACGATTTGATGGTTGAGGAAACGGACTTATTATCATTCAAGTAGTTTATTTAAAGAATGTAAGGAGCTTATGTGAAACAAGCAAGTTGTTGAAAGGCTGTCATATTTTAGAGAAATCTTTCTTAATGTTGTGGAAATTCTGTGAAAAAAGTGATAAATAAGCAGGTCCAGTAAATATACTGAGAGTACACTCTGCCGATTGAGCATATCACTGTGTTTAGCTGTAAAGACCTATAATAGCTCTATTGACCCCGTGGCGGATCCAGAGGTTTTTTGGGGGCTTCATTTTTTTTTACATTTATGAAAATAAACATCTAAATGTATACTTTTTGTAGTTAACATTACCATAAACCTTATTGTTTTATGCGACTATGCTTTGATTTAATGAAAATTGGAATCTGAGAAATTATAGCTCTATAACTATGTAGGTCTTTATAGTTATATAGCCCAATCGGCAGAGTGTACTGGACCTAAAAAGCTTGATTAATAACACAGGCGCCTCATAAATTAAACCGTGCCCCTGTGATCTAATATGTATATATGTGGAAATATAGAATAGCCTGCCTACCCTACTATGTTAATATAGAAGGATAGGCAGGCTATTTTATATTGCCATATATACATTAACATATCGGATACAGGCGCCTGTGAATAATAAAGTCAAATTATGTGAATGTATATTTGCATAAGGCCAAATAAAAAATCTTGTTCCGCTAACCGTACCTTATTACCCTAGACCGAGTTCCCTCTGGCCCTGACACAAGACTTAGACATTTTGATACATAGATGTCTGGTGTGGGTCATCTATCTGTCAAAATGTCTTAAGTCTGGTGTCGGGGTCAGAGGAAACTCGGGCTAAACCTACCCTTGATTTGGTTGCATACCCTAAAGTTTTTAATGGCATTTGGTGATATGTAAATTGTTAAAGTCAGAACTCGTTCTCTATATAAGAATAGTAAAAAAAATTTTTTTTTTGTCTACCTACCCTTTTTTTTCTCAGGATGACAGCGGAAACACAACTATTTTTTGCCTGAAGATGGATGTCCTGTGAAATGATCATCACATGTTAGGGGTCTTGAGCTTTTCTTTGAACTTTTTGAAATTTACGAAGGGGAGTTTACAAAAAAAAACACAAAAAAAATAATTTAATGTGTCTATGTACACACTATAGGAAAAAGATAACACTTTTAAATGGCAAATTCATTAGTTGAAAATGTTCCATTTTAGGGCTAAGAATCGGGAGTCTCCCTTCAAAATAAGGAGAGTTGGATTTTGACATATAGATGTCTGGTGTGCTATATGAAAACATGAGAGTTTTGAGGTGCTGACAACAGACCATGACACCTGAGCGAATACCATTTTGTAGTTCATGGGAGTGACTTATCAACAAGCCGTACTGATCCGGGCCAAAAACAGAATATATCATTCTTGTGTAGAAGATTTCCGGACTGCATCTTTTTTAATTTGTTGATTATAGTCACTTCCCGATACCAAACAGTGTAGGAGAATTCCACATTTTCATATAATTGTGCGCTCTGGCCCCACACCAGATATCTATATGTTAAATTGTCTGGTGTCGGGGCCAGAGGAAACTCCGGCTAAGTTGGATGTTGTAGCTGTAATACATTTGATTGGATTGGTGTGGGAGAAATATGATAAGATAATTAGAAATATTAATGGTATATTTACATAATTACCGTAAATGAAAGGTATGTTGATGATGATTTACAAGATGTAATGTATGGAAAAGCCTCAAATTGGTATGAAAATTTCATAGAATGTCTTTGTGTGCTTTGGCTTTGAGTAACCTCCCTTGATTGGTTATGGTATCTGTTCTCTTTTGCAGGTTGCACATATGCTGATTAAGCAGGTACATTTGATCCGCTTGATTGCTGATTGCTCCAAACTACTGATCAGGAGATACCCGAGATCCAAGGTACAGAATGTGAGATAAACCTGGGGTAGGAGTGAGGGTTTGATCTTTACATAATGACTGGACTTTCCTCCGTTGATAAAAGGAATCTCCAGGAAGTATAACATATGTCTGATATTATTTTATCTCATAAAAGTTATTAAAACACAATCTTTTCCTTACAAATTGGGGTAAATATAAGACTCCCATCGAATGGAATTTTAATTTATTTTTCTCATTTTGATGATGTCTTTTGCTGTCTTCCTCTGTACATTATTACCCTTACTGCAATTCTGGTTTTATTCTCTAATTTTCAGTAAGGATGTATAGCTTACTGATGTGCTGAGTTGTAAGGGACTATTATAACACCCCCCAAACCACAAAGTCATTTTTTTTACAGAATTCGTTGTTTATTATAGTTGATTTATCCATGATAGTTTGACATTGTATGTAATACATGTAATCATAAACAAAAAACAAAAATAACTTTAATACATTAACTGTTGCTGTGATGAAACCGCTGTTTGGCTAACACAGTTGTGTGTCTTATAGATGTCAACAACTACAGCAACAAGTGGGTGTGGTGCTGATACAAAGGTAGAGAAAACATTGCAAGGGTCCGAAGTCAAGTCAGAGGGCATACAGGAAACCACAGGCGAGAAACGCAAATTGGAAGGAGAGGAGGTGACGACTTCAGTGAAGAAAGAAAAGACAGACCAAGCACCTGTGGTAAGAATGCACCTGTGAAATCCTAAGGTCATAATTGTGACAGCCTTCGTGTAAAAGGATTTTATTTTTACATTTGCCACATAGATGAAATCTAGTGGTGTCAGTTTAACAGTCCTTACTCCTTACATCTACCACTATTTGTGGCGGAAGAGATACAAAGAGATAAGAGAGAATGATGGTTACAATTAATACTGAAGCATTATTGATTGTGTTAGGAAACACACATGGTATGAAATATTAGGGGTGTCACTATATGCCTGGAGTGTATCACGATATATTGCAATGCAGAGGCAATGTATTGAGATATGAATCCTGACATTCTGTCATAGGTAATAGGGGCTGACTTTAAAAGAAATTGTAGTCAGAATGTTATCAAACTAAATCACATATGGTATATGGAGCACAGATTTATGTTAAAACACTTTAATATTATATTTACATAAAATGAGCATTTGAAAGATATTATGATACAGCAATATTTTATTTCTGTACATATTGCGATATGATACAATATGCCTATGTATTGCGATATACCAGTTTTCTGATATATTGTGACAGCTCTATAAAATATACATGTAGAATCTTCAATAACTTTCCATCTTATATGAGACTTTAAAATAAGTTCATAAATTTTCATTTTTAGATTTTTGTGCTAAGCTAAATAAAGAAAACTTTGGGATAAATTTCAAAAATCTTATAGAAACAAATTCTAGATCCTTCTGATCACATAAGTATTAACATCTCCGTCTATAGGCTTCAGTGTTACTTCAACCGTTTCTCTCCACCACTTAAACCTGAATCGTCCGTAACTCATTCACCCCTGAAGACACATTTGAACTCATCCAAATCAATGGTTGGAATAGTTTATTAGGAAATTTCAGGGGTGAATGAGTTAAAGGACCATAGCTGTTAATAGGACAAGCAAACAAACCAAACCAAACCAAATAATGTCGTGTCTATCATCTTAATTCTGAAATCACCATGGATAAAAGGACGGTGCTATGAAATCATATAAAATATGACATCAGTGTATTTTCTGCATAACAAGATATGAACGTACTAATAAATATAATACAGTTTCAGTCAGTGATGGTTATATAATATATATTTTTAGGTCACCTGAGCTTTGTTCAAGTGACCTATTCTAATCGCTTTCCGTACGTCGTCCGTTGTGCGTAAACTTTTTACATTTTCAACTTATTCTCAAGAACCAGTAGATGGATTCTTTTCAAATTTGGTCAGAATCATCATTGGTAGATGAGGCTACAAAATTGTAAAATTGGGATTCCTACCCCAACCCCTGTAACCAGGGCGAGGCCCCAAAGGGAAAATTAACCAATATTTCAAAAATCTTGTTCTTCAGACTCAGAGGTACTACAGTCATATTCTCTGCATGGAAAGAAAGATCATCAGGGGCTTTACTTAAATTGTAAATTTCAGGACCCCCCCAGCTATTCGTTCTCCGTTGCGGAGGGGGTAAAGTTTACTATAGTTTATATAGGGAAATAACACTTTTGGGAATATTTTGACAACTTTCTGTAGGAAATTATTTTTACTTGGTGAGAATTTTCCTTGGAGGAAGATGGTTTCAAATTGTAAAATTGAGATTCCTACCCCAACCCCTGGGGCCAGGGCGGGGCCCAAAAGGGAAAATTAACCAATATTTCAAAAATCTTCTCCTCCAGACTCAGAGGTACTACAGTCATTTTCTCTACATGGAAAGAAAGATCATCAGGGGCTTGACTTAAATTGTAAGTTTCAGGACCCCCGAGCTATTTGTTCTCCCTTTGGGAGGGGGTAAAGTTTACTATGGTTTATATAGGGAAATAACACTTTTGGGTATATTATGACTACTTTTTGTAGGAAATTATTTTTACTTGGTGAGAATTATCCTTGGAGGAAGATTGTTTCAAATTGTAAAATTGAAATTCCTACCCCAACCCCTTGGGCCAGGGCGGGGCCCCAAAGGGAAAATTAACCAATATTTCCAAATTTTTCTCCTCAAGACTCAGAGGTAATACATTCATTTTCTCTGCATAGAAAGAAAATCATCAGGGGCTTTATTTAAATTGTAAATTTCAGGACCCCCGAGCTATCTGTTCTCCCTTGGGGAGGGGGTTAAGTTTACTATAGGTTATATAGGGAAATAACACTTTTGGGTATATATTTTATCAATTTCAGCAGAAAATTACTCAAACTTAGTCAGAATCATCTTTGGTGAATGAGAGTATTACTTGTAAAATTGGGATTCCTGTCCCATCCCCAGGGGCTAGGGCTGGGCTCCAAAGGGAACATTTACCAATATTTTCAAATTCTTATCCTTTGATGACATGACAAGTATTGTATTTCACTTAGTTTACATGCTGATTTCCACATCACATCTAAACAATAAAATAAAGCTACCAGTACCTATGATATAACTTAGGTGACCGCTAAGGCCATTGGGCCTCTTGTTATATGTTGTATCCTTTTAAATGACCAATTAAGCTAATGTTGTCAACAATGCCATTATGTGCCCAGTTTCAGTGTCTGAATATTAGTAGTAGATACCATAAAACTCTTGATACTGTAACAGTCCATAACTATAGAAGTATGTAGCACCAAACCTGGCCCCACACACAACCTGGCCCCACACAACCTGGCCCCACACACAACCTGGCCCCACACACAACCTGGACCCACACACAACCTGGCCCAACACACAACCTGTACCAACACACAACCTGGCCCCACACACAACCTGGCCCCACATACAACCTGTAACCACACACAACCTGGCCCCACACACTACCTGTACCCACACACAATCTGGCCCCACACACAACCTGACCCCGCACACAACCTGTACCCACACACAACCTGGCCCCACACACAACCTGGACCCACACACAACCTGTACCCACAAACAACCGGGACCAACACACCTGGGACCCCCACACAACCTGTACCCACACACAACCTGGCACCACACACAACCTGGCCCCAAACACAACCTGTACCCACACACAACCTGGCCCCACACACAACCTGGCCCCACACACAACCTGTACCCACACACAACCTGGCCCCACACACACCCTGTACCAACACACAACCTGTACCCACACACAACCTGGCCCCACACACAATCTGGCCCCATTCAACCTGACCCCACACACAACCTGTACCCACACACAACATGGCCCCACACACAACCTAGACCCACACACAACCTGTACCCACAAACAACCTGGACCCACACACAACCTGGACCCACACACAACCTGTACCCACACACAACATGGCCCCACACACAACCAGGTCCCACACACAACCTGTACCCACAAACAACCTGGACCCACACACAACCTGTACCCACACACAACCTGGCCCCAAACACAACCTGTACCCACACACAACCTGGCCCCACACACAACCAGGTCCCACACACAACCTGGACCCACACACAACATGTACCCACACACAACATGGCCCCACACACAACCAGGTCCCACACACAACCTGGACCCACACACAACATGTACCCACACACAACATGGCCCCACACACAACCTAGACCCACACACAGCCTGTGCCCTCAAACAACCTGGACCCACACACAACTTGGGCCCACACACAACCTGTACCCACACACACCCTGGACCCACACACACCCTGGCCCCAAACACAACCTGTACCCACACACAACCTGTACCCACACACAACCTGGCCCGGGATCATGAAACAATCGGTTGACTTCAGGGTTTGTTTTGCTGACCACATATGCTGTTATTTTCATGACGTTCTTGTGATTGGTTGAGTCAAAACTCAGTTTTAGACTTTAGATTCTTTCATTTTCTCGGGGCTCCAACATTACACCGAGAAACAGAAGTTGCTGTTTAAAACCAGAACAATTTAACATACACATGTCAATAAGGTAGCAACTTCAATACTTAACGCATGGTAATAAATCATTATGTTGCTGTTGTTCCTTTTAGACTGAAACAGAAACAGCCCCTCTGAAGAGGAGAAAGGTGGCACTTTTCATGTCTTATAGTGGGAAAGGATATTTTGGTCTTCAGAGGTGAGTTGACCTACTTTATCCTCAGAGGTGAGTTGACCTACTTTATCCTCAGAGGTGAGTTGACTTACTTTATCATCAGAGGTGAGTTGTCTTACTTTGTCCTCAGAGGTGAATTGACTTATTTTATCCTCAGAGGTGCGTTGACCTACTTTATCATCAGAAGTATGTTTATGCAACTTCAGATGTTTAATAGTCTGCCAACACCAAAGCAGGAAAGGACACCTAAATGTCCAGTGTCCCATCATTTTGTTGCAGCTGGTATAAATTATTGTATTGAAATTGGCGAAGTAGTCAAATGCTGCTATACGCCAGGACGCTATATTTAGTCCCCATAGGATATTTCTAGTGTTTACAAATTTTACTATGTTTTGGATTTAGCAATCTTTCCCTTGTTGCATCAAAACTGACTTTTTGAAATGATTCCAACTCTAAAGTATGCACCCCGTTCATCTATTGTATGGCCTGTGCATCCATTAAAGGTCTTGGTATGAAATTGTGACCATTAAATAGTGAAGTTATGTAGAAATTTGATCACATTTTACCAAGTTTTGCAGTTTATATTTTATATTATTCACACCTTATGTTATATTTATACATTAATTTTGGATTAAGATTGCTATATCATGAGGATCTAATTTAATTTTTCTAAACTCGATTTATTTCTCCAATGCGTTTTGAACTTATTTACACAAGTACATGGCTGACTTGCACTTTAACAGATTTACATGTAATTTTAACTTGTTCACTGAAGTGCTTGGTGAACTTAACTTGCACTATAACTGATTTACGTGGAGGTCTATCAACTTCATTCTACTTTATACGTGTCAAATCTACATTATCACATACTTCCGGGAAAAAACCCTTTTTGAAACAAAGATATTAGCATTTTGCTATGGTTGGCATTCAGTTGTTTGCATTTATTGATAATACATCTCTGATTTTACTAATTTACGAAATGTTTATTAAGACAGAAGGATTTTCCTACAATAGAAGGAGCCCTGGGAAAGGCACTGCTCAGTGTGGGTGTGATATCTAAACAAGATGAGGAGATGCCACAAAAGGTGAGTAAGTTTATGTACAAAAGGTGAGTAAGTTTATGTACAAAATGTGAGTAAGTTTATGTACAAAAGGTGAGTTAAGTTTAATTAAAATTATAAGTCATTAGAAGTTATATAATTATGGATTTTGTCATTCTTAAAAAGTTAACTCAATGAACAGGCCAATTATTGAAAGTAAATACAAATTAAAAGATCATCTATATATTGTAAAAATTAACATATCATCCATATATTCTAAAAATTAATTGATCATCCTTATATTGGAAAAATTAATTCATCATCTGTATAGTGTAAACATTATTTGATCCTCCATCTAAGGTAAAAGTTGAAAGGTTGTCCATATAGCGTATCGTGTAGAAGCCCTGGGTGAAGTTATCACCTGCCTTTGTCTAATTCATGTAATATTTATGAGACTAAGCGTAAACGATAAAATACATTGGAGAAGTCAAACATATGTGAAAAAGAGCCTTTTATTATCCTTTGCAGGCTAAATCATGTTTTTTGTGGTGTTTACGTCAAAAATAACAAAAAAAATATATAATATTAACTTAAAAAGATTGTACTGGTTGTTTCTGAAGTAATATTCCTTAAATCTAGATTTGTTGATGAGCAACTTTTGACAGGTATGTAAAATATGGTTTAAAAATGTATTCATATGCCAATAAACGAAGTGTCAGTTTATGAAAATCATTGTTGCATATCTTACTGATTGTATTACATGAACAGATGGAGTTCCAGCGGGCTGCCAGGACCGACAAAGGAGTGTCTGCAGCAGGAAACCTCATCTCCCTAAAGATACGTACCTTTATTGGTTTCTCTCTTTATGTACTCTTTTAATAAATCTACACTTAAATTAATCAGGGATGATCTCATAAAGATTGAAAAAGATTAATAAAGATTTCTCCCAAGGTAAGATTTCATTTAAGTTGAGTTTTCATCTATTAGTTGAGATTTTGTTTAAGTTGAGATTTCACAAACATTTCATTTAAGTAGAGATTTTATTTAAGTTGAGATTTCACTTAAGTTGATATTTCATTTAAGTAGAGATTTCATTTAACTTGATATTTCATTTAAGTTAAGTTGAGATTTCATTGAAGTAAAGATTTCTTTTAAGTTGAAATTTATCTATTTTGGGATAGTTGAAATTTCATCAAAGTTAGGATTTCATCTTAGACTTATACAGATTTCAGCAGAGGTTGTCTTTTTACTATTTAGGACAAGATATTTGTAAATGATAATACATGTAGCATTAGCCATGCTCTGTTATCTTTTCTCTCTGTTTATACATGTCTATGCATTTGGAAAACTTCTTAGAAGAAATCAACAAAGTTTTACCTCAACAGATCAAGATTCAGGGTAGGTACACGAGTTATTAGCCTTGATTACAGTGACCAATCATCAGTGTAGATAGATAATGGGGTTCCTAGATCTACAAAATGATCACTGTGTAATGGAAGTGTTATAATACTTCTTATTATCCCGTCGCAAAAAGAAATCAAGGGAAATAGGATTCAGTCCGTTCATATGTATGAATGTACATATGTACGTATTTTATACCCTTGGCATCTATCTAGCGACTTCATTTCTCAAAGGATTTTCAAGAAACTTCATACAAGTGTTTGGTATGGCAATGCCTTGAACATTTTCGTGTTTCGTGTTTCTATGTTGAAGGTCAAGGTCACTGTTACTATTTTTAGAAAAGCTTTGTCATCGCTCTACCGACTTCATTCGTTAACGGAATTACATGAAACTTTATATAAGTGTTTGTCTTAACAATACCTTCAAGATATTCTTGCAGAAATATTTTTTCTGTCACATTTTACATATGTTGCACAATGTGTGAATGCGAAGGTATTTGTATCACTTCTGATTCCTTGTTACAGCTTGTATTAGGGTAACCAAGGCATTTAACAGTAAAAATTACTGTGACGGAAGGACATATAGTTACCTGACTCCAACGCTAGTTTTTGCTCCTCATACACAGGTAAGTTGTGTTGTATCTACTCCTCATACACAGGTAAGTTGTGTTGTACTTAATCCTAATACACAGGTTAGTTTTTTGTACCTACTCTGTATACATAGGTGATTTTTAGCTCACCTGCCCAAAGGGCAAGTGAGCTTATGTCATGGTGCGGCATCTGTCGTCCGTCTGTCCTCGTCCGTCAACTTTTCCTTTAAACAACTTCTTCTGAAGAACGAACAGGCCTAGAGTCATGATATTTGACGGAAAGCTTTGTTGGTAGGAGCCCGACAAAATTTGAAAACAAAAATGACCTTGACCTACTTTCAATGTCACAGGGGTCAAATATGTCAAAAACTTCAAACGACTTCTTCTGAAGACCTAAAAAGTATAGAATCTTCATATTTGGCTGATGGATTTCTTGGATGGAGCTCAACAAAGTTTGAAAATGAAAAAGACCTTGACCTACTTAAGAGGTCACAGGTCAACAACATTTTTAAAGGATTTGTTCTCAAGAACTAAAAGGAATGGATTCATAAGATTTGGCTGGTAGCATTTTGAAATAGAATAATGATATTTTGCTGGTAGTTTCAACAGATGGAGCCAACAAAGTTTGCGAGGGAAATAATTTTAGTGCAATATAATATTTAATGAGAATACTTTGCTATGACTGCTTAACTATTCAGGTGAGCGATACAGGCCCTCTTGGGGCTCTTGTTGTTGTATATACTCCTTATGAAATAAAAGAATATTACGGCACTACTGTGTGACGATAACAATACATACTTCTGAGTGAATTATATCTTGTTTAGGTTACTGTGGTTTCTTTAGGAAAGTGGCATGACCCTGTGGGATCCACTGTTTCCTAGTTGAATGGGTCATATTATATAATGACAATATCAATAAGGTAACTAATCAATGCTACAAACTTACAATAACTTGTGTCCTGTCTATATTATAACCATTTAAATATGAAAAACTTTACAAATCAGACATTTCACTGCGTATATATAGTAGGATATATTTACATGAACCTTCAAATGATGTTTGTGTTCCATTTCAGGCAGTTACAGAAAAATATAGAGTTCAAGGTAGGGGATTGTAAAAGTTGCTGTGCTGTTAATTTAAAAAAAAAAAAAACTGACGTCAAGTTAAACTGTTAGGAACTAATCTTTGAATAAACATCTAGTCAACTATCTCAATCTTTTCTGGATATGTTAAAATAGCTCAGTAACTTCTGTTCTTGACAGATGATGTGTTATACATTTATTGACCTTGTGATAGGGAAACAGGATTCCTTGTTTCCCCAAGAATCATGAAACATTTTATGATACTGAATTAGAAGTTTAACAATAACAGAATTGTTAAGACGATCAGACTTCTGTGCCAATGTTTTCGTCTGCTTTAGTCACTTGGAACTCAATTGTGGTGCATCTTGCTCATTTTTCTAAAGAGGGCATAAGGGAAATATTACTGAGTGAACTCGAGTGAGAGAGGGAAACAATGTTTTATTTCCCTGTCATGTGATCAATATAATCCAATCAGACACACTTAAATATAGAAGAGTTTTGCTAGGATTTGTAATTTGCTACTGTCAATTAGTTGGTTATGATAACTTTGATTTTGTTCTGTTTCAGATGAAACCCTCGAACAAGTTCGAGAAATTATAAAGAGATTTGAGGGAACTCATAACTTTCACAACTTCACATCAGGATTGTAAGTGTAGATATTGTAGATACTGTGTGTAAATTGTTTGGAAATTTGGGATGAATATATATCATTAGAATGACAGTCAGTATGCTGATAACATGACATAAAATAATATTTTGTCATGAAATTTAACTAAGATTTTATTTCTAAAGCTTAGCAAAATAATTGTTGTGTACATTAATGTCTGTCAGGTTACAGTATGGTGTGTCGCCTGTCAATTTTTTCTTTGAATGGCCTCTTCTTAACATTTTCATCACTGTAGACTATAATGGACTCATTCAGATCAAAGCATGGTAGAGTTTACTAAAGTTACATAGGTGTGAAAGGATTAAGAACTGAGAGACCCAGCTAGTATTAGCTTACCTTAGATGAATTCCTACAAGACTCTCCAAGTACATCACCGTGACATTCTTTCAAGGCATTGTTGATTGTTTGGCTTATTTCCTTGTGTCTTCCTCGATGTTTGAGTCAACTACTCATTTTGTAATATTGCTCTGCTTAATGTCACCAGTACAAGTTATTTCCCAGGTGTTAGGTCACCTGAGCTTTACTCAAGTGACCTATTCTGATCACTTTCCGTCCTTCGTCGTGCGTCGTGCAACTTTTTCTCAAGACCCAGGGAATGGAATTTTTTCAAACTTGGTCAGAATCATCCTTGGTAGATGAGGCTACATAATTGTAAAATTGGGATTCCTACCTCAACCCCTGGGGCCAGGGCGGGCCCCAAAAGGAAAATTAACCAATATTTCAAAAATCTTCTTCTCCAGACTCAGAGGTACTACAGTCATTTTCTCTGCATGGATGGAAAGATCATCAGGGGCTTTATTTCAATTGTAAATTTCAGGACCCCCGAACCATCCGTTCTCCCTTTGGAGGGAGGGGGGGGTAATGTTTACTATAGTTTATATATTTGGATATAACACTTTTGGGTATGTTTTGACAATTTTCCGTAGAAAATTATTCTTACTTGGTGAAAATTATCCTTGGAGGAAGATGGTTTCAAATTGTAAAATTGGTATTCCTACCCAAACCCCAGCGGCCAGGGTGGGGCCCCAAAGGAAAAAAATAACCAATATTTCAAAAATCATCAGGGGCTTTATTGAAATTGTAAATTTCAGCATCTTTTGGGTATATTTTATCCATTTTCAACAGAAAATTATTCAAACTTTTTCAGAAATCATCTTTGGTGGATGAGGGTACTGCATTGTAAAATTAGGATTCCTGCCCCATCTTCAGGGGCTAGAGCGGGGCCCTAAAGGGAAAATTTACTACTATTTAAAAAAATAATCTTATCCTTTGATGACATGACAAGTATTGTATTTCACTTAGTTAACATGTTGATTTCCACATCACATCTAAACAATAAAATTGAGCTACCAGTACCTATAATATAACTCAGGTGACCGCTAAGGCCCTTGGGCCTCTTGTTTGGGAGGTAAGCAGACATATTGGTATTATACTGTCTTGATTTCACCCTGTTCCTCGATAACGAGTCCCCCCCCCCGATACTACCAGTGAGAACTACATGTTTTCACTCTGTCCATTTGCCTGTTGGTCAGCTCATCAGTCAGTGCATCACTTCAAACAGCGCATATTTCAAATACTCTGTCACCGACAATTGTCAAATTTTGTATGTGAGTACCTCTTGGGATGGCAGAGTTTCACATACTCAAATAGGGTTATGTCCTATACTGTATACAGAGAGAGGACATATCTCATACTCCATCAACTATAAATATTATTTTTTATCTGAGTATCTCTTGAGATGGCAAAGTGTCACATACCGCTAAAACAGGGTCTTGTCCTATAGTATATACAGAGCTACTTGTTCACTCATTTTAGAGCATACCTTGTACTCTATCAACTATAAATTGATTATTTTATGTGAGTGTTTCTTGGAATTTTATGAGTGTCGCAAACTGAAGTGTGGTCCTGCTGTTTACAGAGTTATGATTCTGGGTACATATTTGATGTCTGGAGGAAGATGGCTCACAAAACATTGTCTTGTTATGATAAAAAATGTGTGTTTCGTTTTTTAGGAAGCCAACAGAGGCCAAAGCTAAACGATACATCATCAATTTTAAGGTATATTGTATGACTTGGTGTACATAATTTTCAATATTTAAGATGTTTATGATAAAAGCGGATATTTCAGTGTAATGGTAGTGTGCATTTTCGGAAAATTGGATTCCTGTTAAATGATTAAACCTGTACCTACTCAATCATAGTCAATTAATCTTTCATTATTACTTTTCGATTAGGCTGTTTAACAACATGAAACTTTTGTAATATATTACATTTTGTTATTTTCACATTAACCCTTTCACCCCTAGGTAACTTTAGACTACCGTACATTTATCTGGATGAGTCGATTATGGTCTACAGTGGTGAAAGGGTTAACACAGGAACAACATAGAGAACGGAAAACATTAACAGCTTGACCACCGTCTCCTATAACACAACGGTCAGCTTATACTAATGTTTATTATAATGCATACCAACCTTTGTTGGCTGTGTCAGGTCGAGAGCGTTTGATAACACTTGACCCTCTAGAAGCTCATGCTGCAGTCACCTGTGGGCTCAGGAGAAAGAATAGGCCATTGCATGGCATAAACAGCATCTAAAATGGTGTTCTTATCACCTCTACCCTACCACCTTATTTTCTGAACTGGTACCCCCTTGTTTATTGGCTGCATTACCCTTTTACTAAGTGATAGCTATTGTGTCGATTGGTTGTTATGGTTTTTGTCCCATGACAGAGACAAAATAGTCCTTTAAATTGTGTCTTTTTGCTTGATGATCAGCTTTAACAGGGATCTATTGTTAGTAGTAAGGGCTGGTTTACCCGCTGCCAGCATAATGTGACCGGGTGAAATACTGTGCTGGCTTCAGCATGGTATTTCAGTGAGGTAGGATTCTAAAGTCAGCATCAAATCGGCACTGTCGCAAAGAGGCAAATATACCAACATATTGCCTTCAGCACCCACATCTATTACAAACACTGAGGCACATCCTTAAATGACCCTAGCCTTTAATAGGATGTATAACTCAATAAACCAAACTAAATTAATTCTAGCGGCTTATTGTGTTGGACTTATGATAATTGTACAGGTTCTGTTCACTTCGGTGCAAGTATTGATTGTCTATGACAAAGCTAGTGTTATATATGAAGTAGAGGCGGTGGTGGAGATCCTCCAGAAGTCACCTCTTTTATCAGTAAATTATCATAGATTCTAATGCTTACATGACTCTACCCCAAATTGATACATTTTTTTTCAGTTTTCTGTGATATTTAAAAATTTAAAACACAGATACAAAAAGTTTTCTTATTTTATAGACAGCCCATGGTGGTTCATTTTTGAAAAAAAGTTTGGATTTCAAGTTATTTGTTTCTAAAAACATAGCAATACATTTTGAATGACTTCACATCCATTTTTTGGCAACAAAGAGTACCCAGAATGATGCATGGTATCACAGGCTGTGTATTTCTATTAATTAGTGAACATATTACAGCAAAATACATCATTATTACTGCTTATAATATTAAAAGTTGTTTCTTTATTTCAGCTTGTTGTACTGCTCAGTTTTCACTTATCTATTTTTGCCTTATTTGTAAGGTTTTGAAATCATCAATTGTTCAACTGTTATATCCGATGTACAATAATCACTAATATGTAATACGTCTCTTTGTTGAAGAGAGATTACCATGTCTTAGTATACATGAAAATATGTTTCAAAGAACCATGACTGATTTCAGTGTGGTGAGCCGTTTGTACAAGATGACATGGAGTTTGTACAGCTTACAGTTCGTGGACAGAGCTTCATGCTTCATCACATCCGCAAAATGATCGGTAAGATTTCCTGGCTTTGTGAACTCATTCACCCCTGAAGACACATTTGAACTCTTCCAATTCAAAGGTTGGAATAGTTCATTATGAAATTTCAGGGTAAATGAGTTAATTTACCTGTTCATAACCAATTACAGTCTATATACAGGGTAGTGCTTTGTTTATAGTAATTTTTTAGATCAAATTATCTGGTTTTTTTTTTATATTCTATAAGTTTGAGAAAAAGTATTATGTTCTATGAGGACAGAATAGATGACCGTTTAGTGTTAAAGTCCTTATTTTAAGAAATAATGGCAGCGCATTGATTTAATGCCATTTTGAAATGAACTTACCAGTGAAAAAATCAAGCTGATGTTTTTAAAGGGAGATTATTCTGGCAACATACAAAATGAAATAACTCTTTTTTTTACAAAATGACTAATATCATTGTAGATGGAAAATGGCTAATATCATAGTCAGGGAAATGGCTAGATATGGTTTAAAGAAAATGGCTAATGTCATGGTCTTTGGGAAATGTCTAGATATAGTTTATGGAAATGGCTAATATCATGGTCTATGGGAAATGGCTAGATATAGTTTATGGAAATGACTAATGTCATGGTCTATGGGAAATGGCTCACAATATGGTTTATTGGCAATGGCTAATATTATGGTTTAAGGGAAACGGCTAAATATGGACTGTAGGAAATAGTAGAAACTACGGACTATTGGCTCACACTAATATAGTGTATGGGAATTGCTGTGGTTCTGTAATTACTATTGTGTAATTGTGTGTGATTTCTACGGCTCAGGTTTAACAATTGCCATTGTGAGGGGTTGCTGTGGTGAGGAGGTGATAGAGAAGAGTTATTCTGTCGTCAAGGTAATATATCTTTTTAATATATCTCCTTTATGTAAATTATCTTGTCCATTACCAAGGTTACATATCTGGTCCTTTTTCAAGGTAATATATTTGATCCATCATCAAGGTTATATATATATATGGTCCATTATCAATGTAATACATTTGATCCATCATCAAGGTTATATATAAATGGTCCATTATCAATGTAATACATTTTATCCATCATCAAGGTTATATATAAATGGTCCATTATCAATGTAATATATTTGATCCATCATCAAGGTTATATATACTATGGTCCATTATCAATGTAATACATTTTATCCATTTCAATGTAATATACCGGTACATGGCTATCATCAACTAAGGGAATGTACCGGTATCTTGTTCATTATCAAGGTATTATATTTGATAAATTATCAAGGTACTATATTTTACATTATAACAACTTGCAGTATCACAGACAAATCAACTCTAATCTCAGAAAAGTGTTGTATGGCCGCCGCTGAATATTTGTGAAATTTGATTAAAAAAAAATCCTTTTAGCTTCATATTTCCGAACTCCAGCGATATTTATGAAATTTGACAACTTTTCTGTTAAGGTGGATATTCCCAAAGCTCCTGGAAATGGTCTCATGTTGGAGGAGGTAATGACAGCAGTATTGAAGGTCTCCCAGGTTGGGGTTCAGCCCCATGTTAAAATGATTCTGTCAATGATTAAAAAATATTTCTGGATAGCTGGTGGGGTTCAGTTTTGACCGCGTTTTCTTTGGCTGAACTTGAGGACATTGGCAAATTATACATGTATAGAGTTTCTGAGATAAACACATATAATTGTCCTAGACAATGTTATCCTTTTATGTTCTGGTTGTATGAAGTTTATTGTAGAGAGTTGGAAACCTTCGTCTTGAAGATCAACTTGAATTTAGTTAAGTGATGCCAAGTAGACTGGATAGGATCTAGAGCTCATTGTCATGCTGTGATTCTTGTGAACCAATTCTCATACTTGGGGGGGGGGATAACCACACTGTATTGAGTTGAGTTGAGTTTAATCGAGTTAAACTGGCGAGGCAAAGTGGAGCCAGTAAAAGAAATATTTGCGACAGTATAAAATTTAGTAAGTTTATCCCCATTCTAATTCATATAATCCAAAAAAAACACCAAAAGAAACCATGATTTTACGATGTTTTTGAGTGTTTTCTTAAAATTTTGGGTTACTCTGCCGTTGATTGGTGACGTTAGGAATATTCAAAGTGAGGGGGAATTACGTTGACCTTTTGGGATCATGCTATTGTTCTTGATGTCATGAATAATCAATTTCATGACGTGTCAGGGTCAGTTGGGGTCATTGACTTCATGAACAACTGCCACAAGGGCTTCATATGCAAATGAGAAATTGTGGACAGTATATCCAGGTTATACTGTCGCAAATTAATTTTATTGATCAATCAAATGCCATATTACATCTCAAATGGATGAAATTTCAGGTTATTTTATAGGAACTTTTCAGCAATACACCTATACTGTGCATCAAATAAAAAACTTATTTTTTTGTTATTAAATCGAGGGGGGGGGGGGAATAGTTAAATTTTAAAAGGAATATTATGAGGTTTTTAATAATGTTGCAAAATTGTCAATCTTAAGAATCAAAATCTTTTACACCTTTAAATTATTTTAAAAGATAAGTATTATTACGTAAATGTTATAATAAAAGAATTATTGTTTAAAATAAAAAGTAAAAAGTAAGTTTCTGAAGCACAATTTAGAACATATTCATATAAATTAGACAGAAAAATTACAGAAATGATACAAACTATATAAGTTATAAAATATTTTCGAAATGAATGATATTTTGTTATTTGTTTTAGCTGCATTACCATCATTATAATAGGAGATATGGAACGGATGGCATACACGAAGCTCTGGACTGGACTATCTACAAAGTAAGTCAGACCTTTTTGTAGGTACAAGATTTTCACATTTTTGTGCATTGAAAAAATATGAAGTTTCTTTCTATTTATATCTACCCTGATGTACAGATATATGTCTACACAGACTTAAAGAGATATGCTAATATTGAAACAATCTTTAAGAACACACAGCAAAAAGAAGTAACCTGATGTATATTTCCTGCTAATGTAGCAATATCATTGTAGCAGATTGTCTGCTAATGTAGCAATATCATTGTAGCAGACTGCCTGCTAATGTAGCAATATCATTGTAGCAGATCGCCTGCTAATGTAGCAATATCATTGTAGCAGATTGCCTGCTAATGAATGTAGCAATATCAATGTAGCAGATCACCTGCTAATGTAGCAATATCATTGTAGCAGACTGCCTGCTAATGTAGCAATATCATTGTAGCAGATTGCCTGCTGATGTAGCAATATCATTGTAGCAGATTGCCTGCTAATGTAGCAATATCATTGTAGCAGTTTGCCTGCTAATGTAGCAATATCATTGTAGCAGTTCGCCTGCTAATGTAGCAATATCATTGTAGCAGATTGCCTGCTAATGTAGCAATATTATTTAGCAATGTCATTCCTTTTCAGGAAGCAATAGACAAGTTTAAAGAGGAACACATCTACCCAGAAATGATTAGATCCGAAAAAGTGGACCAATCGTATCTTTTACTGAAATCTAATGACATCATGCCTAAAACTACTGGAATTCTTCCATCTGACACCTCTACTGAATAGCTTTAGGGACTTGTCAGATATCTAAAACTTAAAATAAGTATCGGTACAGCTGTAACTTTCCTGAAAACTAATAATGCTGTGAAATGTTTACAAATCTTAATTAAGATCTCCATAGTTCTAAATATAGAATTAAGAAATTGATTGATGTCCATTAAAATGAGCAATCTTCTCAAAAATAATTTAACAAGGTGTAAAGAATTTAATATAATGTCTGTCTGTAGGGTTTAACATCATTTGAAAAGAATTTAATATAATGTCTGTCTGTAAATACTGCAACTCCCTCTTTCGAGTACTCTGTTTTTGACATCAAATGTTAGTGATTTTATATAAAGTGTAAGGGGTTTGACATAATGTGTATAGGGTTTGACATAATGTGTGAAGGGTTTGACATAACATGTATAGGGTTTGACATAATTTGTATAGGGTTTGACATAATGTGTGAAGGGTTTTAAATAATGTGTATAGGGTTTGACATAATGTGTATAGGGTTTGACATATGTGTAAGGGGTTTGACATAATGTGTAAGGGGTTTGACATAAGGTGTAAGGGGTTTGACATAATGGGTATAGGTTTTGATATAATGTGTGCAGGGTTTGACATAATGTGTATAGGGTTAGATATAATGTGTGAAGGCTTTGACATAATGTGTAAGGGGTTTGACACAATGTGTATAGGGTTTGACATATGTGTAAGGGGGTTGACATAATGTGTATAGGGTTTGCCATAATGTGTAAGGGGTTTGACATAAGGTGTAAGGGGTTTGACATAATGGGTATAGGTTTTGATATAATGTGTGCAGGGTTTGACATAATGTGTATTGGGTTTGACATAATGTGTAAGGTGTTTGACATAATGTATATAGGGTTTGACATAATTTGTTAAAGTACTCTGTTTTTGACATCAAATGTTAGTGATTTTATATAAAGTGTAAGGGGTTTGACATAATGTGTCTAGGGTTTGATATAATGTGTGAAGGGTTTAACATAATGTGTAAGGGGTTTGATATAATGTGTATAGGGTTAGACATAATTTGTATAGGGTTTGACATAATGAGTAAGGAGTTTGACATAATGTATATAGGGTTTGACATAATTTGTTAAAGTACTCTGTTTTTGACATCAAATGTTAGTGATTTTATATAAAGTGTAAGGGGTTTGACATAATGTGTGAATGGTTTTAAATAATGTGTATAGGGTTTGACATCATTTGTATAGGGTTTGACATAATGGGTAAGGGGTTTGACATAATGTGTAAGGTGTTTGACATAATGTATATAGGGTTTGACATAATTTGTTAAAGTACTCTGTTTTTGACATCAAATGTTAGTGATTTTATATAAAATGTAAGGGGTTTGACATAATGTTTGACATCAAATGTTAGTGATTTTATATAAAGTGTAAGGGGTTTGACATAATGGGTATAGGTTTTGATATAATGTGTGAAGGGTTTGACATAATGTGTAAGGGGTTTGACATAATGTATATAGGGTTTGACATAATGTGTAAGGGGTTTGACATAATGTGTATAGGGTTTGACATACTATGTGAAAGGTTTGACATAATGTGTGAAGAGTTTGACATAATGTGTATAGGGTTTGACATAACGTGTATAGGTTTTGATATAATATGTATAGGGTTTGACATAATGTGTATAGGGTTTGACATACTATGTGAAGGGTTTGACATGTGTATAGGGTTTGACATATTGTTTATACAGGTTTGACATAATGTGTATACAGGTTTGACATAATGTGTATAGGGTTTGACATAATTTGTTAAAGGTTTCACAATTTTTTAAGGCTTTGACATAAAGTTTAAAGGTTTTTATACTAATTTTCAGGGTTATGGGTTTGACTTTGAAATTAAGATGGAGCTGCTGGATTTTTAGTTGTTGAAAAGGACCTGTGTGGTCCGTTATGAACACATTATCCAAGTGGCCTTCAGAAACTAGCTTTACGTCATCAAGGATAAAAAAATATTTCATAACATGATACAGGCATTGTAACCTTAACTAACCAGCATGGTGACATGGCTAGCTACATTAGATCACCATGAATATGATGAAATACCTCCAGAAAAATTGTTAAACTGGAAATTCAAAGAGGTGAGTTGTCTAATTTATATATTTTTATACAAATACTATTATATTTCCCCTTCAGATGGTCGGCCATATTATATTACATGTATTACTGGTTCTTCTAATATCACTTTCTTTTGGCTTTCATAGCCTCATGATTATCTTATATAAGCAGTTTAGATTTAAATATCTTGTGCTATAACTATTAAATAGCAAGTGCATGATGCAGGCCCCATGCTAGTGATCCTTATATTAGATATGACAAAAAGTTACAGTGGTTTATCAGACTATCTAAATAGTCATGACATTTTTCTTTTTATTTAATTTCAGAGTGATGAAAACAATAAAAAAGGAAAATCTACTTCGAGTTCTGAAAAACCAGACTGTACAGGAGAGACAACATCAGGTAGGGCATTGTTGTTTAAGTATGATATTTATAGCAGGTCAGTAATTTATTGTTGTTTCCTAATCACTCACTTGATAGACTGCAATATTGATGAATTGTTAGGTTGAAGGAATGCAAGGTTAATGATGCTTTGTCATTTTAGACCGCATTCGTGTATCGCGATCCAAACAGTTGAACCAGAGTTGTTTGTTTATGAAATAAGGTCGGACCTAGTAATCTGATGCTGCTTTCAGGCGAGCCTTCAGAAAGCCTTGCAAGGCCTGCATATATCCGAAAATGTTACCTATAAAAACAAACATATTCAAACCGGTAGAACCGGATATGCGAAAGGGGCCTTAATGATTCCATATGTGTGACAACGTAGACAAGACATTAATGATTCTTATGTGTTACAGATAACACATCCTCTTCTACTGAAAACGGAAAGGAAGATGTATTGGACCAAGCTAAAACCAAGAATGCAGTGGACAGTCCAGATAACCGATCTGTAGAGTCTAAGAACATGATGGTGAGCTCTGCGGAGGACGTTCCGTCTTCTTGTAACAAGGACAAGGACGTTCCGACTTCCTGTAATAAGGACACGGACAAATCAGCTGATGAAGCTGTGAATGACAAGGAAACAGTTAACAAAATGGAGGTGTCATGATAATGACCTTGACACATAGACCTAATAATGTGATAAAGGGTCAAGGTGAATGCCAAATCCACTAACCTGGTACCTGGTGTACTGGTCTTGTGAGGTGTGAGATCCAGGAGGCACTCATGTTTAGTTATGAGCAGGATAAGTACATGTTTACAGAGTACATATCTGTTGACTTGCTACTAGTCTCTGCAGTGAGGATGCAGGACTACAAGACATATATTGGGAGCTTCGGTAATTGATGTTTCCTACTGAATTTTGAATTCTTACAAGTGACATTGTATGAGGTAATGTCACTTTACAATTGTGATTTCACAAAAGGGACAATAAAAGCAATGACCAATATGATATAGCTCTTTATTTTGTTTGTGCCTTAACTTTTAATGTACAGAAAGGGAATGTGGGGGTATGTAAATGTTTGAGCTGTGTTTTACGAGCTTGAGACATTCCTGTAAAATCTCATAGCATCCCTTATTAAAATCCATCCATAATTAGCCGTTTGCATTGTGACATATCAATAAAATTATGAAATACTGTAATGAAAAATATCAGAAAAGATTTTACTGGAAGAGGTTGCAAGTGTCGGGGCTTACATTTTCAGATGCACAAAATGGGATTTTTGAGCCATAACTATGCTTACCATGCTATATGAATTATGCATACACCCTGAATACAATCAAAAAGAGGAACTGCCTCCCTTCCTAATTCACAGTGAAATCATTTAATAAATCATCACAAGTTTGAATAATATGACTTGATCCTGAAGTGGACAACACTAGACACATATCTTTTGTTTCATTGTTCCTGAATATTTGCCATATATTTCAAATTCATGATTGTTCAGTTAATATCTGTGTGTTACTACATACTCAAGGCTAACTGAATTACATGTATAGGACTGACTGAGATACAGTTGTTACCCCTGGCCATTGTTACCAGATAATGTTAGGTTTCTTTTTGACATTCAGAGATGCAGATATAACCCTACATTTTATATACATCCAGTCAATCTCATAATGTAACTGAATAACACATTTAAAGAATATAACATTGGAGGTCTCAAAAACTCAGTGTTTATAGTTTTACACTCTTCATTAAACAGAAACACAATAAGATACTAAATATAATTACAATTTTATTCAGATAAGTGTTTTAACAATCAAATATCACAAAGTTTAATTATCAAAGCATATGAATATTTGATGGGGGGATAAATCTCTGCCTGTTTCCCAAATCTTTTCACTATTGAATTAAAGTGTTTTTAACCCTTTCACCACTGTAGAAAATAATGAACTCATTCAGATCAATGCATGGTAGAGTCTACTACAGTAACATAGGGTTGAAACGGTTAAAATAATTAAAACCATATGTAGCAAATCTCAAAGCTATGCCAGTGTAGTGCAGATATGTATTAAACAGTCTGAATCATCAAATCAAATGCTGCAAATATTATTTTGATAGTTTGACCATGTTTTACTTTATATAAAACACACATGTCTGTAATATACAAGTTTTACCTTATATAGCAGACGAATGTTTAAACCAGACACTTCAGTGTACATGTCTGTAATACACAGGTTTTACCGTATATAGCAGACGACTGTTTAAACCAGACACTTCAGTGTAAATGTCTGTGACACAGGTTTTACTATATAAAAAAGATAACTGTCTACAACAGACACTTTATTGTTGTCAGGTCTACAGTACACACATTTTATAGAAATAAGGTTTTCTAGTTAACTACACATGACAGAAATGTCAACTACAACATAGACATTTTTGTAATTTTACAAACAAGTAAAATATCAAAGTAAATTAGATAATTCTGACAAATAAATAAAACAAATCATAATATTTTCTACACGTTAATTTGTTATCATGTCAATTTATATCATATAATTAGACATGAGGTACTTCCGTAGCATAGAAAGCATGTTATACCAGAAGTACAAACGTTGTCAAAGATTCTGGTTATCCTTAAACCACCCACTCCCCCATACAAATTTCAAATATAATCAATTGTAATCACAGTAACATCAAGTGGCACTTATTTGTAAGTCTATTAAAGGTTTAATGATTATTATTCTGGACATTCATATTATGTAATCAGAATAAACAAAACTTGGATTTCACAAAACTTCCATAAAATAACTGGATCAAAATATAAATACACTTCACAAAGTGTGGTGATTACTTCTATAGTTTCACAAAACTCGGATCAAAATTTGAGTTGTCCAGACAGGATTTGGCAAATATTTTTTTAAAAAGGCAAAACTCTTTAAAAAAAATAGCTGAATCGAATCATCAAACAAGGGTGCACAACTTCAGAATGTGGTGACTTCATAGTGAAGTTTGAAAGTTATCAACAAAAAATTTGATGAAGGATGGAAAAATTGGCAAACGTGTGGTATACTGTCAGTGAAGTGTTATTCACTTAGACCATACAGAATACAGGGAAACAGAAACTGGACCATACAGAATACAGGGAAACAGAAACTGGAAAAGTCGGAATTGTCAGGGTCAGGAAATGCTTACACTTTTCGCAGTAAATAAGCACAAAGATATCTACACACACATACTTATTGATTATAGATAAATAGAACATATGGATTTGAGAATCGTTGTAAACATGAAGAATCCCACACGCCAGTCAGTTTAAAGAGTCACAAGGCAAAGATTTCCAAGCACAAGAATTTCCACTTTCATGTTGTGAGTTCTGTTTATTCCATTTAAGTTGAAGGTGCAATACAACATAACTGCATTTCATTGTAAGCGAAAGTCTGGAAAACAATTCTGCAAAATGCAAATAAAATAGCAAATAATTCATCAGAATGCAAATATACCATTGTACACAAATATACCATTGTTTGGTGTGTTCAGTTCCGTAAGTGTCCTATATTACTGTTGTCAGGCCCGATATGACTTTACAATTACTGGGCTGTTATCTAAATTAACTAAGTTAACTAATTAAATAACTAAGTAACTAAGTAACTAAGTAACTAACTTATAAACTAAATCAGAATGCCTTTGCGGAGAGTTCCAGATTGTATAGTCTACTTGTTATGATTGTCATTATTGGAACTTAATACTTTGTCAGACAAATATCATACATAAAATAGTGAGATCAGTGAATTTTTAGGTCACCTGAGCTTTGCTCAAGAGACCTATTCTAATCGCTTTCCGTCCATTGTGTGTCATGCGTAAACTTTTTACCTTTTCAACTTTTTCTCAAGAACAAGCGTATGCATTTTTTCCAAACTTTATCGGAATCATCCTTCGTGGATGAGGCTACAAAATTGGGATTCCTACCCCAACCCCAGGGGCCACGGCCAAATGGAAAATTAACCAATATTTCAAAAATCTTCTTCTCCAGACTCGGAGGTACTAAAGTCAATTTCTCTCAAGGATGAAAGATCATCAGGGGCTTTGTTTAAATTGTAAATTTCACTACTCCCAGGCCATCCGTTCTCCCTTGGGGAGGGGGTAAAGTTTACTATAGTTAATATAGGAAAATAACATTTTTTAGTATTTTTTGTCAATTTTCTGTAGGAAATTGTGCTTACTTGGTGAGAATCATATTTGGTTAAAGAGAGTATTACAATTTAAAATTTCAATTCCTGACCCATCTCTGGGGGGCTAGGGTTGGGCCCCAAAGGGAAAATTTACCAATATTTCAAAAAGGGGCTTTATCTAATTTTCAATTTCATTACCTCCGGGCCATCCATTCTCCCTTTGGGAAGGGGTAAGGTTGACTTTAGTTTATATAGGGAAATAACACTTTTTCGTATATAATTTGTCCATTTTTAGCAGGAAATTATTCAAACTCAGTTGGAACAATTTGGTGCCAGATGGCAATTAGATGGTATGAGAAAATAAGATCCTTCCCCAGCCCAAGGGGCTGGAGGGGTGGGGACCAAATTGGGAAAATCAAAAGTTAAAAAATCTTCTTCATCAGACTCGGATGTTTTACAAACAAACTATATCTTGTCCAGTTTCAGTAAGAAATAATTCAAACTTGGTTGGAATAGTTATTATGAAATTGAAATCAAATAGTGTCAGAAAGTCAGATCCGGACCTATCCCAGGGGTTGGCGAAAGAGGAAAATTGGCTAAATAACAATAGATATTATATTTCTCAATGGCAAAATGATTTATTTATATTAAGTTCTAAACCTTTGGTGACATGACAAGTATTGTATTTCACTTTGTTTACATGTTGATTTCCACATCACATCTCAACAATAAAATTGAGCTACCAAACCTATAATATATTCAATTAAATCAATTAATTAATTCTATAATATAACTCGGGTGACTGCTAAGGCCCTTGAGCCTCTTGTTATAGTGAGATTTGGTCAAAAATAGTGCGATTTTTTCTCTGAATTTGTGAGAAATTAGTGAGACATTCAAGACATATATCATACCGCGTATAACATAGTATTATCTCATTTGTGTTATTCTGAAGCCTCCAATTACTTTGTTAGAACCAAAATTAAAGATTTATTGATATTTTAAAGGTTTACACGTGACATACGATCCAGATAAAGCTATCAACATTTAAAAGTAAACATATCAGAATAATTCAATCAAAGGTAAAGTCTATTTTGTTTCCGGATGTCTGGCTTACCAGTGATATATATTTTGTTTCCGGATGTCTGGCTTACCAGTGATTTATATTTTTTTTCCTGGTGTCTGGCTTACCAGTGATGTATATTTTGTTTCCGGATGTCTGGCTGACCAGTGTAGTCTATATTTTCCTCCAGATATCTGTCTGAAAAGTGAGATGTATTTTTTTTTCAGGTTATCTGGTTGACCAGTGATGTATATTTTGTTTCCGGATGTCTGGCTGACCAGTGATGTATATTTTGTCCTCCAGATATCTGACTGGAAAGTGAGGTATATATTGTTTCAGGATGTCTGGCTGACCAGTGATGTTTATTTTGTTTCCGGATGTCTGGCTGACCAGTAACGTACATTTTGTTTCCGGATATCTGGCTGAGAAATACAGTCTATTTTGTTACTGGAAGTCTGGCTGACCAGTGCAGTCTATTTTGTCCGTCTGATATCTGGTTGACCGGTTAAATGTTTTGTCCTCCAGATATCTGGCTGACCAGTACAGTATATTTTGTCCTCCCCATGGCTGACCAGTACAGTATATTTTGTCTTCCCCATGGCTGACCAGTACAGTATATTTTGTCCTCCCCATGGCTGACCAGAGACTACCTAAAGCTGATGAGATAGGAAGGATAGGCCTGACTGTCATGGAAGATGATATACATGGACGGAGCAGACACATTGTTTGTGGCTGAATCATAGGGAAGTGCTGTACTCCCAGCTCCTTTGCGATCGGGAAGGTATTTCATCCCACTGTGTCCCGGACAGGACTCCCCAGTCAAGACCTGCGTGTAAAACATGTGCTTCAGTCCACTGTTGTCGTGCTGGCAGTAACCCATGGAATAGGACGCGTCCACTGCAAAGTACACACCATTGCCATAGGCCGTCGCTGTAAGGAGACATAATCAATTATGGCATCAGAGATATTTTTTTATTATCCTCTCAGTCAAGATAACATGATTTTAACTTAAGTTAACTACAGTAAACATACTTTCTTTAGTGCACTCAAATTTTAGTGCATCATCAAATTTTAACCCTTTCACCCCTATGAAACTTTACTAGACTCTACCATGCATTGATCTGGATGAGCCCATCATAGTCTACAGTGGTGAAAGGGTTAGTAGATTAGCACATTGATAAATTAACACAAACTGGGAAATTTGCAATGGAGGACAATAAAGAAGAACTTCAATTAGTGCATTTATGATTTAGCCCAATAACTAGAGTGTAAAAAGTGCTAAAATAAGACTACTGCTAAAATATGTATGTTTACAGAATATGGTTTATTCAGAATCACACAAAATGAACTCCCCATACTGTTAACCCTTTCACCCCTATGTAACTTTAGTAGACTCTACCTTGCATTGATCTGGATGAGTCCATTATGGTCTACAGTGTTGAAAGGGTTAACAAGACATTTTCATCCTAATGGTTTTCACTTGAATGCTTCATTACTTTAAATCTTATTGCTTACCTTTATGTGATTTCATCAATTAGAAAGATACAAACTATCTACTTATAGTTTAAAAAATATATATATTTGGAATGTAAAATCTGTAAATATTAATTCTTCTGGAAGTAATCAATTTCATTTGACTGACTTAAACAAAATAAGGGAAAACATCAGTTTTGGAACTAACTTGATTAAACATATGTTCTTTGATAATTCCCAAAAATCTTTAGAACTGTTGTTGACTTGATATCTTGTAAAGGAAACAAAGCTAAATAGCCAACCTTAATATCAGAGAAAGATAGTCAGGCAATCAAAAAATCAAGAATACTAACCATTTTTGCCACAATAACTACGATCAAAGCCCTTCATGGCTACCTTTTCTACAGTATCTGAGGAGGTACCATGCCACAGCCATTTCTCTGGGTCCTTATTGTTTCGAGTCCACAGCTCCTGTTTCTTGGCTGTGTACTGCTGGTACAGAGACTTGTTCTGGACCCTTTGAATCTGAAACACGTATTGCTACATTTGATGCTGTACTGCTTCAATGCTACACTATAGCTACATTGCTACACTATTGCTACATTGCTACACTATAGCTACATTGCTACACTGTACAGCTACAGTGTAGCATTGTAGCTGTACAGTGTAGTAATGTAGTAGTTCAGTGGAGCAATGTAGTTGTACAGAGTAGCAATGTAGTTGTACACTAGCAATGTAGCTGTACATTGCTACACTGTAGCAATGTAGTTGTGCAGTGTAGCAATGTAGTAGTGCAGTGTAGGAATGTAGTTGTACAGTGTAGGAATGTATTTGTACAGTGTAGAAATGTAATTGTATAGTGTAGCAATGTAGTAGTTCAGTGGAGCAATGTAGTTGTACAGAGTAGCAATGTAGTTGTAAAGTGTACCAATGTAGCTGTACAGTGTTGCAATGTAGCTGTACAGGGTAGCAATGTAGTTGTTCGGTGTAGCAATGTAGTTGTAAAGTGTACCAATGTAGCTGTACAGTGTAACAATGAGTGTAGCAATGCAGTAGTTCAGTGTAGCAATGTAAATGTACAGTGTAGTAATGTAGCTGTACAGTGTTGCAATGTAGCTGTACAGGGTAGCAATGTAGTTGTTCAGTGTAGCGATGTAGTTGTACAGTGTAACAATGAAGCAATACAGTGTAGCAATGTACAGCTACATTGCTAGTGTACAACTACATTGGTACACTGTACAACTACAGTGCTACACTGAACAACTACATAACTACACGTAACTACTACATTACTACACTGAACATCTACATGTCTACACTGTACATCTACATTGCTATATTGTACAGCTAAATTGCTACACTGTACAACTTCATTGCTACACTGTACAGCTGCATTGCTACACTGTACAGATACATTGCTACACTGTATTGCTTCATTGTTACACTGTACTGTTTCATTGCTACACTTTACATCTACATTGCTACACGTACAACTACATTTCTACTCTGTACAACTACATTGCGACACTGTACAACTACATTGCGACACTGTACAACTACATTCCTACACTGCACTACTACATTGCTACACTGTGCAACTACATTGCTACACTATACAATTACATTTCTACACTGTACAACTACAGTGCTACACTGAACAACTACATTACTACACTGCACTACTACATTGCTACACTGTGCAACTACATTGCTACACGCACTACAACATTTCTACACTGTACAAATACATTCCTACACTGTACAACTACATTACTCCACTGAACTACTACATTGGTACACTGTACAGCTACATTGCTATACTAAACTACAACATTGTTACACTGTACAGCTACAATGCTACACTGTACAACTACATTTCTACACTGTACAACTACATTGCTACACTGTACAACTACATTGCTACACTGAACAACTACATTGCTACACTGTACTGCTTTATTGTTACACTGTACTGTTTCATTGCTACACTGTACAACTACATTGCTACACTGAACTACTACATTGCTACACTGAACATCTACATTTCTACACTGTACATCTACATTGCTACACTGAACTACTACATTGCTACACTGTACATCTACATTGCTACACTGAACTACTACATTGCTACACTGTACAGCTACATTGCTACACTGTACAACTACATTGCTACACTGAACAACTACATTACTACACTGAACTACTACATTACTACACTGAACTACTACATTACTACACTGTACATTTACATTGCTACACTGAACTACTACATTGCTACACTGTACAGCTACATTGCTACACTGTACAACTACATTGCTACACTGTACAACTACATTGCTACACTGAACAACTACATTACTACACTGAACTACTACATAACTACACTGAACTACAACATTGCTACACTGTACAACTATATTGCTACACTGTACAACTACATTGCTACACTGTACAGCTACATTGCTACACTGTACAGCTACATTGCTACACTTTACAACTACATTGCTACAGTGAACTACTACATTACTACACTGAACTACAACATTGCTACACTGTACAACTACATTACTTCACTTTACAACTACATTACTTCACTTTACAACTACATTGCTACACTGTACAACTACATTGCTACACTTAACAACTACATTGCTACACTGTACAACAACATTGCTACACTGTACAACAACATTGCTACACTGTACAATTACATTGCTACACTGTACAACTACATTGCTTCACTTTACAACTACATTGCTACACTGTACAATTACATTGCTACACTGTACAACTACATTGCTACACTGTACAACTACATTGCTACACTGTACAACTACATTGCTACACTGTACAACTACATTGCTACACTGTACAACTACATTGCTACACTGTACAACTACATTGCTACACTGTACAACTACATTGCTACACTGTACAACTACATTGCTACACTGTACAACTACATTGCTACACTGTACAACTACATTGCTACACTGTACAACTACATTGCTACACTGTACAACTACATTGCTACACTGTACAACTACATTGCTACACTGTACAACTACATTGCTACACTGTACAACTACATTGCTACACTGTACAACTACATTGCTACACTGTACAACTACATTGCTACACTGTACAACTACATTGCTACACTGTACAACTACATTGCTACACTGTACAACTACATTGCTACACTGTACAACTACATTGCTACACTGTACAACTACATTGCTACACTGTATTGCTTCATTGTTACACTGTACTGTTTCATTGCTACACTGTACAACTACATTGCTACACTGTACAACTACATTGCTACACTGTACAACTACATTGCTACACTGTACAACTACATTGCTACACTGTACAACTACATTGCTACACTGTACAACTACATTGCTACACTGTACAACTACATTGCTACACTGTACAACTACATTGCTACACTGTACAACTACATTGCTACACTGTACAACTACATTGCTACACTGTACAACTACATTGCTACACTGTACAACTACATTGCTACACTGTACAACTACATTGCTACACTGTACAACTACATTGCTACACTGTACAACTACATTGCTACACTGTACAACTACATTGCTACACTGTACAACTACATTGCTACACTGTACAACTACATTGCTACACTGTACAACTACATTGCTACACTGTACAACTACATTGCTACACTTTACAACTACATTGCTACACTGTACAACTACATTGCTACACTGTACAACTACATTGCTACACTGTACAACTACATTGCTACACTTTACAACTACATTGCTACACTGTACAACTACATTGCTACACTGTACAACTACATTGCTACACTGTACAACTACATTGCTACACTGTACAACTACATTGCTACACTGTACAGCTACATTGCTACACTGTACAGCTACATTGCTACACTTTACAACTACATTGCTACACTGTACAGCTACATTGCTACACTGTACAACTACATTGCTACACTTTACAACTACATTGCTACACTGTACAGCTATGTTGCTACACTGTACTGCTACATTGCTACACTTTACAACTACATTGCTACACTGTACAGCTACGTTGCTACACTGTACAGCTACATTGCTACACTTTACAACTACATTGCTACACTGTACAGCTACATTGCTACACTGTACTGCTACATTGCTACACTTTACAACTACATTGCTACACTGTACAACTACATTGCTATACTGTACAGCTTCATTGCTACACTGTACAGCTACATTGCTACACTGTACAGCTACATTGCTACACTGTACAGCTACGTTGCTACACTTGCAGGATGTCCACATGTTAAGTACAAGACTCATTGTTGTTATCACAGTTAAAGAGAAAAAGGATATAACTTGGAAAATAATGATGCCTAGAAAGGCACATTCCCATTGTTTCAGGTTTGTCACTCAATAAATTTCATATCCAGTTTGTGGTATTAATAGAATGTAAGGTCATGCACAAATCCAACTTGCCGAAGTAGAAATTCAGACTTTTGTTTACAGTTTGAGCATACTCCAAGACAGAATTGAAATGAAGTGTTCCTCCAGATGTTCCCTACAAGCAAACGAATTAACTCCATTCCCGTTTTCCAGTTTTACTGTTCTGGCACTGCCCAAATGAACCAGATAATCCTTTTACCAGTAAGTGAAACAGTAATGGTGTCAGCAAAGACAAGACTAAGTTCAACTAGCTAGACCATATATTGTCTGTATAGGTATTGTCAACTTGTCCTGTATACAGACCACCCTAGATGGCTATATCTTTCCAATTATGTAACTTTAACTCAGAATACTAGACCAGATAAATCTGTGCTTGCCAGAACAACAGTATCTGATCATCAATAGCACAGCAGATCAGAGACATTTTGGTTTGGCACTTTGTCACCATCAGAACTGGCTTACCTGGACGATTTGTTGGTGGCCATAATTGGGAGCCATGAAGCCCTGCATCATGAACCTATGCAGATGTCCTGCCTAAATCAGACAGAAAACAGAGATAGGAAGTATTTAGTGTGATCGGTTGCAGATGCTTCAGGAAATGCTTAAAAGATTAGTAATAATGGATGCTTATTTAAAAAATAGTTGACATCAGAAACAAAGAACCTTATTATGTCAGAAACTTCAAAATCCAGGAGGTGAATCCAATTACAGGAGCATATAATAAGAAAAGTTAATTAATGGATAGTGCTTAAAATCCATTTTAGCATGAAAGAGATATATTTAGATGATAGAATGAAACACTGATAACCATGCACAGGGGTAACAATGCACAGAGGTTACCAAGGAAATAGGTAACCATAGACAGAGGTAACCATGTACAGTGGTAACCATGTACAAAGGTTACCAAGGAAAAAGGTTATCATAGACTGAGGTAACCATGTAGAGTGGTAACCATGTTCAAAGGTTACCAAGGAGATAGGTAATAATAGACAGGGGTAACTTTTGTACAGTGGTAACCATGAACAAAGGTTACCAAGGAAAAAGGTTACCATAGCCTGAGGTAACCATATACAGTGGTAACCATGCACAAAGGTTACCAAGGAAAAAGGTTACCATAGACTGAGGTAACCATATACAGTGGTAACCATGCACAAAGGTTACCAAGGAAAAAGGTTACCATAGACTGAGGTAACCATGTACAGTGGTAACCATGTTCAAAGGTTACCAAGGAGATAGGTAACCATAGACAGAGGTAACCATGTACAGTGGTAACCATGTACAAAGGTTACCAAGAAAAAAGGTTACCATAGACTGAGGTAGCCATGTACAGTGGTAACCATGTTCAAAGGTTACCAAGGAGATAGGTAACCATAGACTGAGGTAACCATGTACAAAGGTTACCAAGGAGATAGGTAACCATACACTGAGGTAACTATGTACAGTGGTAACCATGTTCAAAGGTACCAAGGAGATAGGTAACCATAGACTGAGGTAACCATGTACAGTGGTAACCATGTTCAAAGGTTACCAAGGAGATAGGTAACCATAGAATGAGGTAACCATGTAGAGTGGTAACCATGTTTAAAGGTTACCAAGGAGATAGGTAACCTGAGACAGAAGTAACCATATACAGTGGTAACCATGTACAAAGGTTCCAAGGAGATAGGTAACCATAGACTGAGGTAACCATGTACAGTGGTAACCATGTACCAAGGTTACCAAGGAGATAAGTAACCTGAGACAGAGGTAGCCATGTACCGTGGTAACCATGTAAAAAGGTTACCGAGGAGAAAGGTAACCATAGACATGTACAGTGGTAACCATGTACAAAGGTTACCAAGGAGATAGGTAACCATAGAATGAGGTAATCATGTAGAGTGGTAACCATGTTTAAAGGTTACCAAGGAGATAGGTAACCATAGAATGAGGTAATCATGTAGAGTGGTAACCATGTTTAAAGGTTACCAAGGAGATAGGTAACCATAGAATGAGGTAATCATGTAGAGTGGTAACCATGTTTAAAGGTTACCAAGGAGATAGGTAATCATAGTAACCATGTACAGTGGTAACCATGTACAAAGCTTACCAAGGAGATAAGTAACATGAGACAGAGGTAGCCATGTACAGTGGTAACTATGTAAAAAGGTTACCGAGGAGAAAGGTCACCATAGACAGGGGGTACCATGTACAGTGGTAACCATGCACAAAGGGTACCAAGGAGATAGGTAATCATAGACAGGGGTAACCATGTACAGTGGTAAACATTCACAAAGGTTACCAAGGACATAGGTAATCATAGACAGGGGTAACCATGAACAGTGGTAACCATGTAAAAAGGTTCCCAAGGAGATAGGTAACCTGAGACAGAAGTAACCATATACAGTGGTAACCTTGTACAAAGGTTCCAAGGAGATAGGTAACAATAGACTGAGGTAACCATGTACAGTGGTAACCATTTACAAAGATTACCGAGGAGAAAGGTAACCATAGACATGTACAGTGGTAACCATGTACAAAGGTTACCAAGGAGATACGTAACCATACTCAGAGGTAACCATGTACAGTGGTAACCATTTACAAAGATTACCGAGGAGAAAGGTAACCATAGACATGTACAGTGGTAACCATGTACAAAGGTTACCAAGGAGATAGGTAACCATAGAATGAGGTAATCATGTAGAGTGGTAACCATGTTTAAAGGTTACCAAGGAGATAGGTAATCATAGTAACCATGTACAGTGGTAACCATGTACCAAGGTTACCAAGGAGATAAGTAACCTGAGACAGAGGTAGCCATGTACAGTGATAACCATGTAAAAAGGTTACCGAGGAGAAAGGTCACCATAGACAGGGGTTACCATGTACAGTGGTAACCATGCACAAAGGTTACCAAGGAGATAGGTAATCATAGACAGTGGTAACCATGTACAGTGGTTACCATGTAAAAAGGTTACCAAGGAGATAGGTAATCATAGACAGAGGTAACCATGTACAGTGGTAACCAAGTAAAAAGGTTACCAAGGAGATAGGTAATCATAGACAGAGGTAACCATGTACAGAAGTTACCAAGTAGATAGGTAATTATAAACAGAGGTTATCATGGATATAGGTAATTATAGACAGAAGTTATCATGGAGATAGGTTACCATAGACAGAGGTTACCATGGAGATAGGTAATTATAGACAGAGGTTACCTTGGAGATAGGTAATTATAAACAGAGGTAATCATGGATATAGGTAATTATAGACAGAGGTTACCATTGAGATAGGAAATTATAGACAGAGGTTATCAAGGATATAGGTAATTATAGACAGAGGTTAACATGGAGATAGGTAATCATAGAGAAAGGTTACCATGGAGATATGTAATCATAGACAGAGGTAACCATGGAGATAGGTAATTATAGACAAAGGTTATCATGGATATAGGTAATTATAGATCGAGGTTACCATGGAGATAAGTAATCATAGACAGAGGTTACCATGGAGATTGGTAATTATAGACAGAGGTTATTATGGATATAGGTAATTATGGACAGAGGTAACCATGGAGATAGGTAACTATAGACAGAGGTTACCATGGAGATTGGTAATTATAAACAGAGGTTACCATGGAGATAGGTAATTATAGACAGAGGTTATCATGGATATAGGTAATTATGGACAGAGGTAACCATGGAGATAGGTTATTATGGACAGAGGTAACCATGGAAATAGGTTATTATGGACAGAAGTTACCATGGATATAGGTAATTATAGACAGAGGTTACCATGGAGATAGGTAATTATGGACAGAGGTAACCATGGATATAGGTAACTATAGACAGAGGTAACCATGGATATAGGTTATTATGGACAGAAGTTACCATGGAGATAGGTAATTATGGACAGAGGTAACCATGGAGATAGGTAACTATAGACAGAGGTAACCATGGATATAGGTAATTATAGACAGAGGTTACCATGGAGATAGGTAATTATAGACAGAGGTTACCATGGAGATAGGTTATTATGGACAGAGGTAACCATGGGGATAGGTTATTATGGACAGAAGTTACCATGCATGGACAGAGGTTATCATTCACAGAGTAATCATGCATATGTACATCAACTCTGTTACCACTCTGTAAAATTAACCTTACTTGCAATGGTTGAGTAGAAGCTTTGCCAACTGAGGCACGAAATGCCTGTTCTGTCTTTTTATACTCTTCATCACTGGTTGAGAGTTTCACCAGCTGGTAGGTTACCTTGCCCATCGGTGTCCAGGATTTGGGAAGTCCAATACCACCTTAAGGAAACAATCAGGTTGGGTATTACATAAGGATGGAAACCATCAGGTTGGGTATTACAATAAGAATTACCAATTGATTAGATGAGTGTTATAAAAAATACACAGTGAATCCTGCCTTATCCGACCACAATTACAGTTTTCTGAGATCTGGTATAATCCATAATTTATTATCCCCCACTTTCATCGAAACGGGGGATATTAATTTGGGTTTGTCCGTCTGTCATGCTTCATTTCCGTGCAATAAATGCAACAAATGTTACTTAGTAACAGAGTTCAACGCCAAGTTTGACAACCACTTTAATCGGACTCCATTTGGCGTAATTATGGCCTCTTGATTAATGAAACTCTTTGGTTTTACCGTGATATTCCAACCAAATTCCGTATGCACATCCGACTCATGCTAAGTTTGCCAACCAATGTGATTTGTGCAAATTTATGGATAATTAATAAGGTTAGTAAATTATGATGGATTAAACGATTAATTTACACCGTAATACCTACATGTTCAATAAAAAGTCTAACTTCTGTAAAAGGCTTTTTTTTTCTTCCCGAGTTTCAAGCTATACATTATGTCTCAACAGTCTCAACTACTTACATGTTTAAACCTAACCTCAATGTTTACCTACAATATGCCCTGCAAGCGGGGGATATAAATTTCACGAATTTGCTTGTTTACTATCTCATCTCCAAACGAAAACTACCTGGACCAGGGGCCTTATGCATGAAACCGTTCTCATGCTCAAGCATGGATTCTGTACTCAAACCTGAACTTTCTTGTAATTTGCATCAATCTAACGGCACTGTCACCATTAAGTCAAGTCTAGACTCTTTCCAAAAATCTTCCAAATCATTACCAAAATGCAAATATATTGGTTTTTTATCACTGGAACAGGAAACTGAGCTTGAACACATAAACTGTGTGAGCATGATGGTTTCATGAATATGGACCCTGTACATTAGACTGCAGTTTAATTCAGAATACATGACTACAGATTTGGTTTTGTAAACAAAATTATAATGTCTCCCCGTATAAGCTAATATTAGCCAATTTGCTCTACACTGATTTGACCTTTGATCTGGAAGTGAAGGTCACAATGACATAATAACACAGCACCCTCTCTGGGTGATACAGGCACACTTTAAGTTTCATCAAGATATCAGTAACAGTTTAAATTTTACAGTCTAGACAAAAATTTACTAACCAGTTTTCACATTTTTGACCTTGAGAAGGACATTGGGACAGTATACCGCACACCTCCCATGGGTGATGCAGTTACCCTTAAAGTTTCAACAAGTTCAGGTCGCGGCAACCTTACTATAGTACAACTCAAACCTTCTGGGGGGGATGCAGGTGTACTTTAATTTTTCGGAAGATAATTTTGAACAGGACGTCTTTAAAAATAGACGGACCTTGAAAATACACCTTGGATTCCAGGGGCCTATTTGTTAATGCAGAACAACCGGTAAGTCTGTTTTTAACAGTAATATTTTCAGGTATAAATCCTGTTTTTGCAGGCCTTGTAAAGCTTAGTCAAGGCTCGTCTGAAAGCAGCAGCAAATTACGAGGTCTGACCTTATTTCATAAACGAAAAACTCTGGTTTAATTGGTTCAACCTTTTGGATCGACATAAACGAAAGGGGCATGAGCTTACTTTGAAATTCCCATATTCTAGTTGTCAGCAATTACAGATTGCTGGGTACCTGGTAATACAGATTTAGAAAAGTTAATTTGTCACAAAAACCATTGATTTAATACAGCCAGGTTAATCATTCTGTATACATTATGTAAAGGAGCTACATTGTTCAGTGTCAAAGTCGGCTTACTGGCTTCAGCTAGAGGGACTGCGGGTCAGCGATTTGATCCCTAGTGAATGTAAATATACTTTTCCACAGCTTCTTTTCTATAACACATTTAAGCTAAATGACTAAACTGATATATACAATGACTACTTTCATGGCTATGTAAGTAACTATATAGTTATAACAGGCCATTATAGAACATACAAACCTGGTGACCGCGCTCCTCGATCTCGCCGTTCTATTTTGTATTTTTTGTGTGGTAAGCTCGTCTCATATTCCACCATTTTTTGGAAGTCGATGATATAGATGATGCCATTGCTGTCCATGACCTTAGTCTTAACTTCTTTGGCTTTGTAAGCCTTCTCTATCATCAAGTTAACCTCTGCATTGAATCGTCGCCATTTTCCACTATCATCATAGAGCCACTGTACATAATCAGCAACCGTCTTTGCTTTTTCAACCTCGTCTTTATGTTTCTCAAACTTGTGGAGTAGATTCTGTATTTCAGGGAGCAGATCCGAGGTTGGCAAACGTCTTCCTTCTAGAGTGATCTCCCCTCTACTCTGGTTTATTATTATGTGAACATTTCTTTTTGATCCTAGCCCATTCAACTCATCAATCTGGAATGATTAGTGTATATAGGTATATCAATCTAGATATTGTTACTCTGTAGTCACTTTGAAATTAACAAAAAAACTGTCAAAGGAAGAACGGTGGTCTAGTGGTAAGACGCCGGGCTCGTGACCGAAGGGTTGCGGGTTCGAGTCACGGCACGGCACTGTGTTGTATCTTTGAGCAATATACTTTACTCCGCTTGTTCCAGTCTACTTAGCTGTAAATGAGTACATGGTTGGGCAGCGCTAAAATTGTTGAATGCTAGCTGTTAGTGCCGAAATGGCAGCTCAGGTTGTATGCTCCCGAGGGAGTTGAAAAAGATATTGGCTGGTTTATAACCACAGATAATAATTTGTAAACCGCTTTGAGATGACCAACGAACAAGGTTGTGATAAAGCGGTATATAAGAACCTCAAATTATTATTATTATTAAATTCAACTCAATGAAAAATCGAAATATGAAATTGATTCTAATCAAGCAACATATTAGACTTTAACATTTCCATATAATTATCCTCTAACAGAAAAAAAGGGGCAGCTTTAGTAAAAACATATTTTTTAAAGATAGTGATGTTTATAAAACCTTGAACCTAACCAGAAGTTGATTTAATGATGACAAAATGATTTTCAATACATGGTACATTGTATTTTGGTCTATGATTATAATATAGAGTATCAGAGGTGTAATGTATACCACGTTTATTGCACTGGGTGTAATTCAAAGCCATATATTTAACAATTGATTGGATCACCACTACCTTATACAGAGAGCATTTATTTCAGCTATGAATGCCATTGCCCACTTGTTGCTGTTATCATTAAGTAAGTATTAAGATAAGACATCATGTCACGTAACACTCTAAGGCCTGTACCATAAAGGTCAAGGTTGTGGCAAGAGGTCTGTAACTTTTGATCTGCACCACAGTTTGTTTGGAACTACATAGGTATGTGTATCACATCTAAACCACATGTCACCAAACACTTTCAAGGGAAGTATTCACCCTAAAGTCAAGGTCACTGCTAAGGTCAGATGTCTATGCCAAACCTTAACTTCAATATTTGCATGGTAAGCATTTCTGAAAAGTATAAGGATGTTCAAAAAGGAAGTAGGGTACAACTAATAATATGTCCTAGCTTTTTTTTCTTCCCTTGATTCCTTGGTCAAAAGTCTAACACATAGGTCACAGTGACCTATATTTGAGTCGTGACACACTGCCTTACCTAGATATAACCATGCAATATGTTTGATGATCCTTCATGAATTGTTGAATTTGTACATGTGATACATTCTGGATGGTTGCACAAGGCGCAAAGTACTCTAGACTTTGTCAAAGCAGGAGTATTTAAACAGAATGACTATCACACTACATTATTTTTATTGCTTTTTGATGATGAAATATATAAAGGATCTGAAAACAAGTGGTTGAACGATGTCAATAGTTTGATCCAGACAGAGCTCGTTGCCATGTCTCTTAACCGTGTTATTGTGGGAGACGTGCATCAGTGATAACCTGTTTCTGATATAGATGTTGACTTACCTGACATGTACTAGACTTATTTTCATTACTGGTTACTTACCTGGTATGTGTTCAATCCTTTTATGATTTCCTTGTATGACAAGGGTACTGTTAATTTCCTTAATTCTGAGTCACATGCCTGATCGATGCGAGATTTGGCGTTCCGAAACTTGGAGGGAGAATCACTCCACATCAAAAACTGCACATTATCAGGGCGGACATATGATGAGGTCTGCGATCTATGACCTTTTGACTTTCGTGTTTTACTCGTGGATTTGTATGCTTCTTTTTCTAAAAATACATAGAAAATAAACAAGTTATAGCACAGAATCACTTAGATTGAAATAAACAAGAGGCCCAGAGGGCCTGTATCACTCACCTAGATATGCTTAAAGTCATTGATATGAGGTAAAGATATAGCACTCCATGGGAGGTAATGTATGTACATATGAAATTTCACAAAGATCTATCTTGCACCTCTGGAGATATAGCGAAAAACAAATTTCAAATAAGGCCCTACCCCTCTGCCTCCAGGGGGGCCACACTCACCGTTTATACAAAATTGAGTCCCATTAGGATAAATCCCTTTATTCCTATGGTAGAAGAAGGATTTTAAAGGTTTTACCTCTATTTCCCCTATTGGGCCCCACCTCTCTGCCCCAAGGGGGGCCACACCCAACGTTTAAACAAAATTGAGTGCCCTTGGCCTAAGGAAGTTTGGTCAAAATTTACTGTGCCGTTCAGGACTAGTAGCGTTTTATAGGAAAAGTTGACCCACCAGGTGAGTTGAAAAACTGATTGGCACAATTTATTCAATGGTGTAATGGCTGTTCAGAAACCTGGTATTGTAATAACTGAAACTCAATTATGGGGTTTATTTCGTAGTATTGAAATTTTAAAGTCTGAGATCATTATTTAATCTAGACTTTCAACCAAGATTATGACATAGAACAGGAGGCCCAGGGACCTTAGTAGCTCACCTGGAATTTTATTTTCTATTTAGAACATGTTTACTATCCTACACTTTTATCAAAAGTTTAAACTCATGGCTGGGCCAGTACCGTTATATCATGACTCCAGACCTTCCAGTTCTTAAGAAGTTGCATAAAGTTTTGGAAATATTTGACTGAAAATAGATCAAGGTCATTTGATATCACAAACTATCTCATGCTCCATCCAAGGAAGCTTCAAGTGATATACCCTCACAGGGGTTGATTAACGCATACTTCAGAAAGTTAGAGGGTCGCCACATGACAGTTCTAAATTAATGATTTCTCAACATATTTGCCCTATGCACTATGTTTTTATAATCACCTTTAGTTGTATTTGTCCTTCTTGGCGTGTCTGCTCCTCTTAGATGACGTTTGAGTTGGGCCTTAAATGTGTCCACCATGTCTGCCTGATAAATAACAATGCTGACCTTCCTTAGGTGACGGAGTTGGTCAGTGAGCTGACGTATAGCTGTAAACATAGTGTCGGCTACATCCTTAGGAGCACAGCCTATCTGACCTGCAATTAAATAGTTAAGCGTATCAACTGCAACTTACAAATTCAGAAATAATTATATAATGTGTCATGTAGCCTGCACTACCAGGAGTGGGACTAGCGGCTCTGGGTGTTAAAGTAGGAAATGGTAACTGGCAAGGTCACAAAATTCAATGTATAAGATAGGGTTACTTAGGCTAACAAGTGTCATCATAGAGGGTCAGGGTCAGGACACATGTAACATCATAAAAGGTCAAGTAAAAGTCACATGTATTATCATAAAAGGTCAAGTGAGAGTCACATGTAACATCATAAAAGGTCAAGATAAAGTCACATGTAACATCATAAAAGGTCAAATGAGAGTCACATGTAACATCATAAAAGGTCAAGTGAGAGTCACATGAAACATCATAAAAGGTCAAGTTAGAGACACATGTAACATCATAAAAGGTCAAGTGAGAGTCACATGTAACATCATAAAAGGTCAAGTTAGGGACACATGTAGCATCATAAAAGGTCAAGTTAGAGTCACATGTAACATCATAAAAGGTCAAGTGAGAGTCACATGTAACATCATAAAAGGTCAAGATAAAGTCACATGTAACATCATAATAGGTCAAATGAGAGTCACATGTAACATCATAAAGGTCAAGTGAGAGTCACATGTAACATCATAAAAGGTCAAGATAAAGTCACATGTAACATCATAAAAGGTCAAATGAGAGTCACATGTAACATCATAAAAGGTCAAGTGAGAGTCACATGTAACATCATAAAAGGTCAAGTGAGAGACACATGTAACATCATAAAAGGTCAAGTGAGAGTCACATGTAACATCATAAAAGGTCAAGTTAGAGGCACATGTACCATCATAAAAGGTCAAGTGAGAGACACATGTAACATCATAAAAGGTCAAGTTAGAGACACATGTAACATCATAAAAGGTCAAGATAGAGTCACACGTAACATCATAAAAGGTCAAGTGAGAGTCACATGTAACATCATAAAAGGTCAAGTTGGGGACACATGTAACATCATAAAAGGTCAAGTGAGAGTCACATGTAACATCATAAAAGGTCAAGATAGAGTCACATGTAACATCATAAAAGATCAAGTGAGAGACACATGTAACATCATAAAAGGTCAAGTTCACCTCAGTCAAAAATGCTTCCTTGGGGTGAAAATATGCAATATCGCCCTCTCATGAATGTGATTTTTACTTTATTATACCAAGTGTCATGTTTAGGTGTTTCACCACTTCACCATTTTTAAAGGTCCTTGTGTTGATTTGAAATAAACCAAGACTTCATCTCAACAGTTGTCGAATGAACCAACCATGAATGTGATTTGATAACACCCTGGCACTGGGACAAACCGTGCACGCATACGTTTGGCGCATGTGATATTTTTTGGAATGTCAGCCTGTCTTCTTTATCTTTGTAAAACGAGCAAGTAACATTAAAAATGTTCACATCTTTCACAACCAATCAGATTACGAGATTTTAACAGAAGGTATAATAACATAAAAGGTCAAGTAAGAGTCACATGTAACATCATAAAAGGTCAAGGTTGGTTCGTGCTGGTTATAACGGCGTATTAAACTTCACGTATAAAACTCCCCGCATATAACTCCCCGTATAAAACTCCCCGTATAAAACTCTCAGTATAAAATGTCAAGGTTAGATTATATTCTCATCTTAAAAGGTCAAGATCTGAGTCACACGTGTCACTGAAAAATGTTAAGGTTAGGGTCATCATATATAGAGCATGCTATCACGTGAAACAATTTAGATGAACACATCTCATCATTCACTCCCTAGGGTCAGACGAGGGTCTGAGGCACATGTGTCTGTGTAAAATGGCATCACAGGTTACCTGTTCCAAGGGCTGGGAAGGTAAGAGAGTCACACTTGAGACGGTCAGCCTCTCTAAGACAGGTGGACACAGCTTGAGCCCAGTCGGACTCACGTGTGCAGGACCTGACATGGAGGATGAACCGACACATCAAACTGCCACCAGAGGTCACCACCAAACCTCGGGACTGCATATCCATACCTATTTATAACAAACAATTAAATATACCTTTATCAAAATCAAATTTCAACAAATTTGGAGAAATCATGTATTATATATATATTATAACAGCAGTAAATTGATCCTTACAGACGGAGAAATGATATAAAATGAATAAAAATCTTAACAACTCATCTTTAGTGCTTTCATCTCTTCAAGGAGATTCTTCAGACTGAAGAATCTCCTTGAAGGGATGAAAGCGCTAAGATATTCAGGAGTTGAAGAGCAGTGTGCCTGTTATTTGTCATAAATACTGAGATAAAATCATAACTGGGTGATGGGTGAGGTATATACATACGCCTTGCATTGCATTCCACTTGTATGTTTTGGCCTCCAGCCTTGAGAATGGCTTTAGATACTGCACCTACACAACAAAAAGGTCAATACAATAAATCACAGAAGACATACTTAAGCTTTAATCAATTCTTTTACAAAATAATAATATGAGTAGTTAAACTGTAAACATTCTTTATCAATAAATCACTAATTATTACTGTTAACATACTTTATCAATAAATCACTAATTATAACTGTGAAGATACTTTATCAATAAATCACTAAATATCACTGTTAACATACTTTATCAATAAATCAATAATTATTCCTGTAAACATACTTTATCAATAAATCACAAATTATTACTGTTAACATACTTTATCAATAAATCAATAATTATTCCTGTAAACATACTTTATTAATAAATCACTAATTATAACTGTCAACTTACTTTATCAATAAATCACTAATTATAACTGTTAACATACTTTATCAATAAATCTCTAATTATTCCTGTAAACATACTTTATCAATAAATCACTAATTATAACTGTCAACATACTTTATCAATAAATCACTAATTATTCCTGTAAACATACTTTATCAATAAATCACTAAATATCACTGTTAACATACTTTATCAATAAATCACAAAATATCACTGTTAACATAGTTTATCAATAAATCACTAATTTTCACTGTAAACGTACTTTATCAATAAATCACTAATTCTTCCTGTAACATACTTTATCAATAAATCACTAATTACAACTGTTAGCATACTTTATCAATAAATCACTAATTATTACTGTTACATACTTTATCAATAAATCACAAATTATTACTGTTAACATACTTTATCAATAAATCACTAATTATTACTGTTACATACTTTATCAATAAATCACTAATTATACTGTAAACATACTTTATCAATAAATCACTATTTATTACTGTTCACAATACTTTATCAATAAATCACTAATTATTACTGTTAACATACTTTATCAATAAATCACTAATTATTACTGTAAACATACTTTATCAATGAATCACTAATTATTACTGTTACATACTTTATCAATAAATCACTAATTATACTGTAAACATACTTTATCAATAAATCACTATTTATTACTGTTCACAATACTTTATCAATAAATCACTAATTATTACTGTTAACATAATTTATCAATAAATCACTAATTATTACTGTTAACATACTTTATCAATAAATCACTAATTATAACTGTTAACATACTTTATCAATACATTACTAATTATTACTGTAAACATACTTTATCAATAAATCACTAATTATTACTGTTA